GTTAATTATATGTAGCCTTCAAAATTCTTACTAATTAAGTAATTAAGATGAGATTAATTAAAATTGAGGAACATGACATTTCACTAAAAAATACACATTTATCAATAATGTTGTTGTTAGACTGAGTTAATCACCGGATATCTATTTTTTTTCAATATATTTACAGACTTTATGCTAAAATGCCATACTCCTATTAATTTGTTAAGTATAAAAGATCGGCTCGTTTTATCAGTTAGGCAGAATAATAGCCGCATTTGTACTTAAATTTACGTTATGCGGTCTAATGCTATTTGACATGTCTAATGGTTAGACATTATACTTTTTCAATAGATATGTATATTATTAAACTAAATGTCGTACTATAAAAAACAACAAATAAAATTATAACATTTTTTTTTTAAAAAAAAAAACTATGCCGAGTCAACCCAACTAGGGCTGCAATCATGCCGAGATGAGTTAACATTAGCCTTATCGAGCTATGCTTGACTTTTTTTAAAACCTATTGAAGCTCAACGAGTCTACCTTGCTCGATGCTCGGCTGGACTCGACAACAAATTACAAAATCTCAAAATCAGATCGATTGTGATTGGATCGAAATTTTGCTCGCCTTCTGCTAAAAAATTTTAGCTAAAAAATGTATAATTGTGGATAGTTAGATAATTTTACATAAATTTAAGCATCGAGTGACCGAACGTACAAATTACATGCTCGAGCTCGAGTTCAAATTCAAAATGCTTGAGCTCGGTCAAACTTAAACTCGAGTCGAGCTTGGACCTCACGAGCTGCTCTACTCGTTTGCAGTCTTAAACCCGACTAATACTTACGCTGCTTAACATAAGAATTTGTGTGTTTGACCAGTTGACTAAATGATAACAACCTTTTTACATTCAATCCAAAATTACCTAAAAAGATGAGACTGTATGCTGTTGAATGCAGACACACAATTTAATGCAGGACTGAAAATAATGGTGGTCATTTCTGGAACTCCAGCTGGTAGGGTCTGGGCCTTTTTGTCTTTTCACATTCCCCATTCAACCCTTTTAGCCTCTGCTTCTAAGTAAAGCCTCTCTCAACCAAATCACACCATTGACTTCTCTCTCTCTCTCTCTCTCTCCCTTGAAAGAAGGCGAGAGTTTTGGGCGATAAAGGGATGACTCTCTCACTCGGTCTTACCCACATATTCATACACACACGTATATATATTATCTATATATTATCTGTATATATAGTCAGTCACTCACATATATGTGTATATATTGAGGCTTATGCAGAAAAAAAGAAAAGAAGATGAAGAATTATGGGAACTCTATTTTGAGGGGAATGTTGTCTGGCTCGAGGATTCATTCAGCTCGATCTTATCTTATTCGATGGGCCAACGTAATATTTTGTATAGATCTGATATTGCTAATGTTCGTCGGACCAGGCTTCATTCCCCCCAATTATAAAGCTCCATTACTAGATCTTGATTATCGGATGTCAAAGGTGAGAGATTTTAATTTTAATTAAAGGATGCTATTTATTTTTTGAAAATTTGTCAATCTATTTTTCTTTTTTTTCATGGTGAATTGACAGTTGGGATTTGGATGAGCAGATTGGTGTAATGATTTCATTTTTTGGGATCTTTGCTTTGAATGTTTTGCAGGAAAGTGTTTCATCATTGCAAACTTTATGGGATTGTTTTTTTGNAAAATCAAATTGTAATGGTGATGAATGCATAGCTAGCTTGTATAGGGTCATATAGGCAGATAGGTTGCATTGCTTGTAAATTTTGTTTTGAATTGGTTGTACGGAGCACATGAACCAGCAAATTCATTCTGAATTTTACCGTTGAATTACACTCTTCACTCACTCAAACAGAAAAGTTGTGGACAAAAGTCTCGTTTTGCTCGAGTGGCCTGGATAAAAAAAACTAGATGAGGTAATTCATTGCCTCACTTATATTTATAGGGTCAAATTTGTCCACATGCCTTTTATTTCAATTCTTTGCTTTGTTCTTTAAAGCAGTCCTGCTGGATCAAACTATCATGTCAAATGTCAATGTAAAATTTATAAATTTATATTCTCACTCAAAAGTAGATTAGGTTACAGACTTGAATAACAAAAATACTTGACTAGTCACATAATGGCTTTAATATCACCTATGCATTTGGACAGATGTAAATAAAGTATTATAAGTTACTTATATGTATATAATACTAAAATTATAAGTTATATAATGGTATTATGTTTTAAACATAGAGTATTATGAGTTATAAGTTAGAAAATGGTATTATGTTTTACATTAATCATTGGTTAAGAGAAATAGCATATGAATCACTTATATTGATTGCATAAATGTTAGAAGTAATGTAATTTTTATAAATTTGAGGGATAATGACTAATTAATTAGCTGAAAAATATTAAATTTATCATAATAATTGCTTATGAAATTTTAAGTAATTTTACTATAACATTAAAATAAATTATTTTTTTAATACTATCACTTAATCAAATAAAAAAACATAATATTGATTTTAGAATAAATAACTTGAACAAAAAATTTTTACAATATAATTTTTTATGTTTATTTAACTTTCATATATCGTTTAGTGTAAAATATAATTATTAATCTTAATAATAACTATTATATGATACAATAAAAAATATAATTGTTAACGGTTTTTGTCTTAATTAACAAAAAAAAGTGTAAGAAAATATTTTATTATTAATGGGATATGATGAATTAATGTAATAATAAAATTTATTGTTAATAATTTCATATAAATTTATACCTATTTGAGAATATTTAAATTTGTATAGTTAAATTATGTAATAAATTTTATTGCTAAAGAGTTTAGATATAATTTTATTTTTTAGCTGGTGAAACTATTTTGGGCCAATCTTTGCATATTTGGTCCATACGGCTTTTGGGTCAGTCATTCAAAATAAAGCAAAATTTAAAATTACATACATATTGTTCCAAATCCAGCCAAACTTAAGCATTGTTGAAGACCAATTTAAGCCCGTCCATATGTTTGTTTTTATAACATGAAAATTTCAGCCCTGTTTAAAACCTCTCTGCAGGATGTTAAAGAGACACGTGGCCCACATACGTGTAACCATATTATATAACGGGTCCAAACCCTAAAATGGCTGAAATCACGTCATTTCTTCTTCTTGTGTCGGCGATCTATCTCTCTGTGTCTCTCTCTCTGTTCTAAGTTTCTCCGACCCAAACCTTTTTTCTCAGCCGTTCTTAAAAAAATTTCGCTGGTAATGAAAAACAACGTGTGATTTTCCGGGGATTCGTTCCGTTGAACAAACAGAAATTGAGAAAAAAACACCTCGGAAATGCATTTTGGAGGTAAAAAGAGATCGAAAAATAAAAATTGTTCCGATGTTAAAAATCCGATTTACTGATTTGTAATATTTTTGTTACAAATAAGATCTTGGAAGATCTATCGTTTTCAAAATATTTTTTTGGAGTTTTTTTTTTTAATTAATAGCAAAGTAGACCAAGTTACAAAATCGACTTAAAGATTATTAGTACTTCGATTTAAATCGGTCGATTACAACTAAGATCTATCGAGATCTATGAATTTCAAAAATTTATATGTTCCCTTTTTTTTAATTATTTTATATTGTTAACAGATCTACTAAGATCTGTACATTTCGAAAATAATTATATTGTTAAAAAAATCTTGAATGATTTTCAACTTGTAACGGCCAGATGAAAGAAAGCAGTCAATGAGGCTAGATGAAAATAGTTTTAACGGCTTGATGAAAATTATTCCATATATACATGCCTGCAACTTTAATTTGATAATTACTACTAATTTGATATGTTTTTTTTTTGGCAAGAATTGCAAACACTATTGCTGAGAAGGAGCTTTTGAATTTTATATTCATTTATAATTTGTTTTTATGGTGGTTGTATTTTCTTTTATTTAATTTTTATTTGTTGTTCGTTAATTTATTTCAAGATACTATGCATAACAAAATAAATAATATACTGAGCAGACTAATTAATTGTTTAAAAAAATTTGTGAACATTTTCAATAACTCGTATTAATGGCAGAATTGTTTTGTTTTCAAGTTTATATATTTATTCATCCCCAAAATTGAGCTGTTCTTGAATGAAGAAAATAAAAAACAAAAAATAAATAAAATGTAACAAAAATTGGTAGGAATTGAAAAAAAGTACCAGCTAGGTAAAATTTATGAGGTAAAATTTATGAGGTTTTCTTTAATGTTTTGAGCTAGTAATTATATATATATATATATAGATAGTTGTATTACAAGCACATGCTGTTTTTTCCCTGTGTAAATATATGGTGTGTTGTTACTTGTGCGTATATATGCAATTTTGCTAGCTCACAAAAATTCTAAGTTTATCAATTGGCATTTCATATTTAAAAATCATTATAAATAAAAGTTTGACTTTTCATAACATAAAATTCTTGTACGTTTAAAAGTATGATAAGTCAACCCGTCTAATGGTAAACTATCTCACACAAAAATTTGTTCAATTGATAATTTGACTATCTATTTTATTACACGCACATAATTGGTATATCATGATATCGCTGTTGGAAATACATTGAATATATAGCAAGCAGGGCTAAGTATATACGAAAGTATTCAATGAACAGCTAGCAGTGCCAAGAATATGAAAGTAAATCTATTCGTAGGCAGCCATAGTTTTTTAAATGATATTCATACTCTAAAAACAACATTAACAAAAATATAACTTTTCATAGCATAAGTTTATATTTTTATCCAGTCGATCCACCGGGGCCTTGCACAAAAATTTGTGATACAATAATATACAAATTCATGTCCTATGATATGTAATTTATTTTATGCGTAATATATCTGTTGCGTAACTTTTTCCTAAAATGCAAACACAATCGTAAGTCATAGTAGTAACATTTGTATCTCAAATGTAACATAACCCGTAATTATTCATCAAAATCAATTAAATGAATCTTGGCCACCTCATACCAAACAAAAAAGAATCATCACTTTCTAGAAGACCCAAACGTCCAAGGATCGAATCTCCTCAAACGCTCAAACTCCCCGCCCTCAAAAACACACTCCGGCAACGCCACCGCATACCGTTTCTTATCATAACAATACGAATACGTCATCCACCTCCTCCTAAAACCCTCCATCCGGGCCTGCTCCTCCCGGCCCAATTCAAGCCCAACCCAATCCCCACCCCCCATCAAAAAACCCGAGTACTCCGCCACAAACGGCCCATACCTATGATCCACCTTGTACAACCCTCCCTCAGTCGCCCAACTCGACCCGTCCCATATCGTCCCGTAAACCCTCATCGCCTTCGACGGGAAGTCCTCACCCGCCACATCACCCGCCACGTGGCGGATGGGTACCCCGTCCACATAGAACGTGATCCTCCGCATCTCGGTCCACAGAATCCCATACCGGTGGAAGTCCGCGGACGGGTCGAACGGGAGCTCGTACCTCTCCTCACGGCCGCGGGACGTGCTCCCGTTGCCGTAGAAGTTGGTCTGCACGGCCCACTTTTGGCCGTGCACGTGACCTAAAAACTCGAAGTCGATCTCGTCGTGAGACGACGGGTGTTGATCGGCGTTGCTCATGTAGAAGGTGACGACGACGCCGGCCGTGTAGTTTTTTCTCGGGAGCTTTAGGGATGTTTCGAAGCGGCCGCTCGTGTAGGTTAGCTTCGAGTGGAAGCCGGAGCTTGTTGTCTCGTCCATCGAGATTCGAACCGATGTGTTGGCTTCGTCGTACGGGACTACGTTTTGTTCGCCGTACAACGGGTCGAATCCCTCTTGGAACGATATCGAGTTCGAGGACGATAAACCGAAGAAGAAGATGCTTGAAAGGAAATAGAAGCACACGAGATTATCATGGGCCATTGTTTTTTTTTTTTTTGTTACTAGCTAGTGTGAATTTAAGGGGCAATTTATAGGTGAATGTGTGTTATTGGTGATATTGAGCATTTTGGAGAGGATGATACTAATGGGGTTTGGGTGTACAGACTGTCTTTCCAAGAGGGATATGGTTTTTTTTGAAATTGAGATTTTGAATGGAGATTGAGTACACACACGTAAAATCTGGGGTTGATGATTGTGGAGCAAAAGGTATTTATTGTTTTGGTCCTCGTTATGGTTTTTTGGTCACTTTTTGGTTTGTGTGCATTTTTGTGCCCGGGCCTTTTTGTTATGATGGGGTAAAAGCATTAAAATTGCTAGATTGATTAATGTAAGTTTGGCAATTAGCCGCATTCACTTGGAATATATCTGTCAGCCATCGTTCGGGCGGCAGCCTGTAGGAAACACAGCTAATCCAAAATATTTTTCGGAAAATTATCAAAATATAAGGAAAAATTGTAATTTAAAAATAAAAAATAAAAAAGGAAAAATTGTGATTTCAGTCATCTAATTTTTTTACTCCATTAATTTTTTGAGATTTCAAATTGATACATTATCTTTAAATTTATGTCAATCTTATCTGATAACTTTTTTGGGGCTTCGAATTTGATTTTGGATTAAATTTAAATCTCATCCGATAACTTTTTTGGGGTTTCGATTTTGATTTTGGGCCAATTCCATTCAATCTTTACTTTCCGCACCTTATTTTTCTGAGAATTTATGATGATTGTTTGTTGAGTTTTTGTGCCTAGTTTCTATGTGATTTTGGTGGTGTGTGGAGTCGTTTTTTGCTCTCATTTGTGTCATTCCGGTCCATTTTTGCTCGTTTTTGTCATTTTGTGTATTTAGTGTCGTTTTTTGTTTTTCATTGCCTTGCTTTGCGTTTTCCGATGTTTTGTAGGTTTAATGGAAAAAATTCGGTTGGGAGCATCGTCATCATCGAGTGGCATTTTCAGCACTAGCCCGTGTACGACCCGGACGCTAATCCGCGACCTTGTGAAAGTCCCCAGAAGCACAAAGACTCGCGACCCCGAGGCATATCCGCGACCACGTGAGCGCGCTGCCGAGAACGCTGAACTTGCGACCCTACGAGAGTGATCCTGAGGCTCTCCATAAACTCGCAACCCCGAGGCGAGCTCACAACGCTGTGCGTGCGGCCTGAGGCTCTCCACAAACTTGCGACCCCGATGCGAGTTCGCGACGCTGCGCGTGCGGCCCGAGGCTTTCCACAACTCGCGACCCCGAGGCGAATTCGCGACGCTGCGAGTGTACCCGTGCCAAATCAAAAATCGCGACTAGAATCCCTATTTCACAGTGTTGCGAGTTCAGTTTATTAAATGTGCATTTTTCTAGTGTGTGTTTTGAGAACACTATGAATACATTTAGTCTCTTGTATCGGAAACACCTAAGCTTTCATTTTTCTATTTTTTGCACTTTGAGAAATGTTCTCCTTTTTAGTTTTATCTCTATTTTATGTTGGAGCTCTATGACTCTCATTTTCTGGCGACTTTCCGGCGACTTCATTTTTTATGAAAGTTTCGAGCTTTTTACCCCTGGTAACGTCGAACACTCTGACCAGCTGGAAATCGGCTCGCCTTCTTCCTCCTCACCGGTAAAACGCCGCGTACCTGAAAAGAACTCTTACACCGGACGGGATTTCTGGTGAAGAACCTTCGATTCTTAAGTCAGTATAAACTCTACTCAATTCTCAAGAGTAAAAATGGATAAATCGTTCTCAAAATATAAAGCTCACCCCTATATATAGGAGTGAGATACCTGCTTCTAGAGGCTGCTCGGATTTGCTGAGTTGGCTGCCCAAAGCTACCCAGGCCTGCCCGTTCGTACACACATAGTGTGCGTGTGTCAGAAACAGTTATCGTCATAAACCAATCAAGTAGCTGCACGTGTCCTCCGCACATAGGGTAAAGATCCCTCTATAATCTCCTCGAAGGCTCTTGTTCTCGACCATGCCTAGGTCAGTCCCCAAACTGTTCTCAGTCTGGGAAGTGGTCGATCAAATGACACAACTCGACAGGTCAATCGACCGGATCCTCCATGGACCTGGGACCGACTTGTTCTCCTCATACCGGAATCCTCTGTACGCTGTTTTCGTGGTGCTCGACCACAACCACTCTGCTCGATTCTGTTCGACCAAGGTGGCCCGTTTAGTTAGCTTGACTCGTTCAACTGGCCTAGTGGACCTGTTTACTCCTTTAGTTATAATATCCCATATCAACTCCGATTCTCGTCTAGCACGCAATAGGAGAGTGGATACTTACTTTTAAGCCTCATTACTTCGTATTTGTCTTGTTTTTGCTTATGAAGTTTTTGAAGTAAAATTAGGTGTTTGCTTCATGAATGAGGAAAAGTTGGGAGCTTTTTGTTTTCACTACTTGCCTAAGTGATTGTATGAGTTAATTACTTACTTAGCTAGTGTTAACGTTTGGGAGTTTGGTTAAAGCTGAACCTTTTAAGTTTAGAAAACTAGTATTAATTCTCTAGGATTTAGTGCTTGCATATTTCTCTTAGTTTGTTTGTATTTTTATTTCGAGTGATAGAGACTCCGGTAGCTAAAAAATTCCCATCATTTTTCTTTACGCTCTCGTTTTGCTCAATGTTCTGAAAACTGGACTGGTCATCGAACCGGTCAAGCTATTGATTCAATGATTCATTGGTCTGACCAGTTGTTGAACCGGTTAGACCGGTATTTAATTTATTAATATTTTTATACATATATAATATTTTATATAATAAAAATATGTATAAAAGCTTATTAATTAAATATTTAGCTAATTTAAGACATTCAAACACTTACATTAACTAATAATAACTTATATATATATCTATTATCTAAATACGTTTTTTTTAGTTGACCGGCAGAAATTTAAAAAATAAAAATTATAAGAAGGATGTTAGTGCATTTTCTTTCATTGCGTCAAAGATTCTAAGCCATAAATTGTTTGGAATCATGTAGCCTCACATCACTTGAGAAAGCTAAAATGAAGGAGAGATTGGCTATAAATGAAGCACAAAAAGCTATTATGTTGCCAGCTTTCTACTACAGAAAATCGTGTGGTAGGTGAGCTATTAGTAGAAAATTAAAAGTTCATGGGCCTTGGAAGGTATATGTTTGGGCTTGTTCAGTTTAGAATCCAAAGTCCGAATATATCTAACATACAGTCCAAACTTTAAAGTACAAAATTGACAATCGTTGGGCCAGCGAACCGTTTTCGGTTTTACCGCTTTTCAACCGGTTTGAACAGTTAGTAAATAGTTTTTGGGCCAAGCAGATTTATATCCCAAACCGAACCGGGATGCTGGTCAGTTCTTGGTTGAACCGGTCGAACCGACTGGTCTGGTTCGGTTTTTATAACTATGGTTTTGCTTGCTTGCTTTCAATTGCTCTAATTTCCTAGTTAAAATTAGTCTTAAATCAACCTCAACCATCTTGATTAGAATGTTTAGGAATTTATTTGCTATTTTTGTGACCTTGGATGACTATCTAGTAAGCGAAGCTCCGAAACGTCTTCCTTGAGAAACGACCCGATGTTCGAATAACTCGGTTATCAATTATTCTCGCAAAAAAAAATAAAAAAATAAAAAATGATTGACCTATTAAACCATATATCAAATTAAAGTTTTCGAATTAAAATTATCGATTCAGTATATTTAAATGGTATTTTTTTTTTGTCATACAATTTTTTCAACAATGACAAATTCTGTCAAGCACAAAACCCTCAAATCACAACATATGTTTTTCGTAGATGTCTATTGAGATTCGACCTTCGGATCCTTCCAAAATTTATCCATCTAAAAAAAATATAAAGTTGCATTTGGATAGTAGTAGAGACGAATTAAAAGCTAAGCAGTAGGATACTGATATGGGTTACTTTATCTTAGGGAATAAACGGATCAACTAGGCCGAGCGGGAGTGAGGTTGTACTACCAGGCAACTCGGGAAGCTTAGGCAGCCAGCTCACCCATTTCGGGAAGGTTTCTAGAAGTAGGTAACCCACCTCTATAAATAGTGGTGGGAGGTGCGATTCTAGTCAATGAGCTACTCATACATTCTATACTTTTTGCAATTCATCTTCTACAAGTGCTTATTTAAGCATCAGAGACTCTTCACCGGAAAACCCCTTCGTGTAAGAGTTTTTGCAGGTCTAAAGGCGTTCAACCGACGGAGGAGCTCAAGAGAAAACCGATCCTAGCCGGTCGGAGGTCTTTGCATAGCATTTGGTGCATTCGAAAAGCTTGTGTTCTCTATAGCCATGGCGAGCAAAATCCCAAGGAAGAATTTAAAGACAACTTTCAATGATGCGTGGGTGACCAACGGCCGTTCGGGGTAAGCCCTCCACCGGGCTTATCCGGACCTTCCCAGACTATGATGACCCCGATGCCTCCTCTTCAAGGCTTAGGGAGCTCATCGACGGTCTCTGTAGCTGTGCCGGGCTCGAGCTAGGCGCAAGAGGCTCGAGCACTTCAAGGGGAGATGGTGCAAGCGCAGCTGCAGCCAGATCCAGCCCCTGCACAACCAGGAGGAGTGGTGGCTCGGACAATGCGACCACCGATGATGGACGTGGAGTAGGCTGGGCAACAGCTGTGACGATGCCCAGAGAGGAGTTAGAGAGGATGATCGCCAACACTCGCGACAGAAGCAATGCAGCAAGCCACTCACCACACTTCACACGCCGCCCCCGCGTCAGCCACAGTGGTAGGTACACATCAGCTGAACACTAAAGAGGACGAATCGAGCTACAGAGAAGATGGAGCTGGCACAGATCGAGCGTTAGAAAGATTGGCGGAGCAGTTGTGCCAGTTGCAGGCGAAGGTTGATGGAAAATAGGTAGATCGAGCTCGAGGACACCCCTTTTCGAGAAATATTCTGAAGGCAGCATTACCAAATAATTTTTGGGAAACCAGCTTGGCGTATGATGGGTCGACCAACCCGTCGAGGCTTGTAAGATCGTTTGAAAATATGACTG